TAGACGGATCACTATGCGAGAGTTCGATGATATATAGTTTGGAGCATTCCAAGCACATTTTTGGTGATTCTTGCGATGACTTTCGTCCAGTCAAAATTGACGAATGAAAATATAGGGAACATACCAAAAAGTGGGCATATACCGATAATTCTACAAACCGATTTATGTAAACCATTATGTACACCAAATACGAACTTCAGCAATTTTGAATGGGGGGTTTTCCTAAAATCTGTAAGATCCAAAAAGTGGACTGATACTGATAACGGATGGTAGAGTATAAAATCCTCAAACTACTGTAATATAGATTACAAGGTTATATTAGGGTATGTCTATTACAAGGTTATATGAAGGTATGTCTATTGCATAGTGAAGGAAATAGTGAATATTTGGGGATATCATTATATGAGGGCTATGCCTATTTAATGACCGGTATATGCCAATTTTGAACCCAATATTTTAACTGTTTATCTCAATTCATTCCTTCAGGAGGTATCACTATATTGCGGAGATGGCTAAATGTCTGTCGATATATTTCATTATCGTCATGTTTGAGTTTTTTTTTATCACAATATGTTTAGAAGGCGGAATGCTTACAACAGATGGCAAAATAGTCCCTGTAGGGTAAAAATTTACTATTCCCCGTAACGACTACCCAACCGCAACACCCGGAACAAATCAGATCACTATTTTAATATAAAAAGGTATGCATATTAATAATTTCTGGTGGGGAGATTTGTTGCCATATACGACTACAAAATATCAAATTTCAGCGAATTCGGTTGAAAAACGCGCTCAAGAACCTCAAAATATCGAAAATTAGGGGTACCCTTATATGGGGGCTACCCGAAAAAATTGACCTATATTTATATTTTTTGTGGCGAGATTTGCTACGCAATAATAACTCAAATTACTAAATTACAGCCAATTCGGTGAAAAAATCCGGTCAAAACCCCCCAAAAAATGGAAATTGGGAGGTACCCTTAAATGGGGGCTACCAGAAAAAGTGGACCTATATTTATTATTTTTAGTGGGGAAATTTGGTACCCAATAAGAACCCAACGTACCAAATTTCAGCGAATTCGGGTGAAAACCGCGCTCAAAAACCCTAAAATACCGAAAAATGGGGGTACCCTTATATGGGGGCTACCCGAAAAAATTGGCCTATATTTATAATTTTTATTATAGAGATTTGCTACCCAATAAAAACTCAATGAACCGAATTTCAGCGAATTCGGTCGAAAACTACGATCAAAACCCCCAAAATACTTAAAATTAGAGTGTATCGTTATATACGATATATTCCATCTTCGAATTTGACCTGCTTGCAGACAAAAAAAAAAAATTGGCGATCTATCTCAATTCGTTTAGACGCTAGAGTGATTACAACAGACGGACGGACAGACGTATATGCTTAGATCGCCTTAGAATTTTACGCTGATCAAGAATGTATATACTTTATGGGGTCGGAAATGATTATTTCAAAGAGTTACAAACCGAAAAACAAAATTAATATACCCTCCATACTATGGTGGAGGGTATAAAAATAAAATAACGATTATTTTTGATCGGTTACTTTTTAATGGTAAGTAAATTCTCAAAATTCTCGTTTGATTTCCCGCAAACGAAGTAATTGAATACGATTTTATGTATTTTTTTAATATAAATATTCTATGTTTTTTTAGAAATTTTGTTTATTTGAAAATCACTAATAATGAAATATTTATTATGACTGTTCATGGTAATGTTTTTTGGTTTGTAATGTTTGTTGTAAACTAAAAAAAAAACTAATGAAATTGTATTGAATGTTGGCATTTTGTTTTCGATGTTTTTTTTTTCTTTTTTGATTCTTCGAAACTTACCAAGGTGTAAATGAGCTCCAGAAGAGACTACATTTGCGAGTTGTTAATGATAATTGAAGGAAAATATTTGTTTGATTTTCAAATATAAATACGTAGTTTTAAACGAAGAGTTTTTGTTTGATTGTTTTTTTTTTTTTTTTTTGTATTTGTTGTGAAGTCAACGAACAGCATATTTTTACACATGAGGACAAACACAGTTTTTTTTTGTTTTGTTAAGACAGGACATTAACAATTTAAAAACAAGTGAAATTAAATGTTGTTGATTTTTTTGGTTTTTTTTTTTTTTTGAAAAAAAGACAGAAACAAATACAAAAGATATTTTTTCGTTAGCACAAAATAATTAACATTTAGTAGGGAAATTAGAAATTAAAAGAAAAAAACAAAAAGATTTTTTTAAAATTTTAAAACAAAATTTTGTTGTTGTTATTTTCAAATATTAAATACATATTTTTTTGGTTATAAATAGCTATGAAATAATGATATGGTTAGGCTATGAGCTAGCCAAAATTTCGTTTTTGGCTATGTTGTTAATAAATAAAAAATTAAAAAAAAAATGAAACACAAACAAATTATAATAAACATTTGACACACTTTATATAGTAGATACGAATAAGACATATACATTGACATAAAGAGACTTTCACAATTTCTGTCTTTTTTTGTTGTTGTTGGCCTATATTCTGTTGATTGTTTTTACTATAGCTGGTTAGTTAAGATTTTAATATAGTTAGAAAACATAAATGTAAAAATAAAACAAAACAAAAAAATATTTTTAAAGAAATTAAAAATTTTAGACACGCACAAGTTAAGGAACTGAAAAAAATTTGGTTTAAAAAAATTTAAAATATATTTTTTGGTTTGACGAAAAATATGTTTTAGGTCCTTGTTGTTAATTTCTGTTGCTACTTACACAGGGCTACAGTTGGGGTCAAATGTAGACATTTACTTACAAGGTGAATTAAAAAATATATGTTTTTTATTTTTTAGTTTAATATTAAGTGTTTTCAATTGACTTAAAAAAAATAAATACATTAAATTTAATTTTAAATGTTTTAAATATAATTAAATATTTTAAATTTAATTTTAAATATTTTAAATTTAATTTTAAATGTTTTAAATTTAATATTAAATTTAATATTAAATATTTTAAATGTTTTAAATATAATATTAAATATTTTAAATTTTATATTTAATATTTTAAATTAAATATTAAATATTTTAAATAATATATTTTTAAATTAACTAATTTGAATAAAAAATTAAAAATGTTGTATATTTTTGTTAATATCAAATAATTTAATTTTTGAATTATTAAATATTTTAAATTTTATATTTAATATTTTAAATTAAGTATTAAATATTTTAAATTAAATATTAAGTAATTTAAATTAACTAATTTAAAAAAAAAAATGTTAAATGTTCTATATCTTTGTTAATATCAAATAATTAAATTTTTTCTATTTTTTTGTTTTTTTATTACTATATAGAATATATAGAATAATAGTATCACCTTGTAAATATATGTCATATATTTTTATTATTTTGTAGCCATGTGTTTTTAAATTGTTTATTTTTTACTATATATATTTTTTTTGGTTATTGAAATGATATGTTATATATATTATTATTATTATTTTTAATATATATTTAAAAAATTAACTTAAAACAACAACAAAAAAGTTTACATAAAACCTAAAAGAAAAATGACTAGCTTAGTAATAATTTATTTTTTATGAAATAAAAATTTGAAATAATTATTTTTTTCAATTAACTGAAATAAGCAAATAAAAATAAATAAAATTTTGTTTAAGTTAATCAAGAAAAAAAAACATATTTAAAATTGAAATATAATTTCATATAACCTATAGCATTTTTTTGTAATAAGTTGTTTTTTATATATGTTTCCCTTTTTATATAGCTGTAAATATTTGGTTTTTATTTTCGTTTCGTTGTAGTTGTTATTTTTTTATTGTTTTTTTTTTTTTTTTTTTAGGGTAAGACGAACACAAGGAGGTAAAACACTAGACAACACACATACTCAATGAGGTGCTATCATTATTTTCGCTTTGGATTTTTTCAATAAAAAAAATAAAAGAAAATTCCAAAATAAAAAAAAAATAAAATGGGAAAATATGAAAATAAACATCTGGTAAAAAAAATAGAAAATGAAAAGAAAATAGTTGCTTCACATACTTTTTTTTGGTGTCACAAAAAGAACCCTAAAAAGTTAGGCAAGAAAAGAAAAAGCTCAAACCAAAAAACATCGATTTTTTGATTGCTTAACAATTTGCATTTCAATTATTATTATTTTCTTGAAATAAAAACAAAAAATTAAAAACTATAAATAATAAATTATTTATTATGAGGATAGTTTTTGTTATTTTTTTTGTAAAGATTAAAAAAATGAAAATAAATAAACAAAACACATATTCCAACGCATAAATGATAGACTCATTGAGGGGACTTGGTGGGGATATAAAAAGGATTTGTTGGGGTTTGGTTTTATAATCGTTTTTTTGCACTGGCTTTAGTTTTCTTTTACAAAAACAATAATCAATGTATAGTTTTTTTGTAATTTTTAAAATTAAAGAAAATAAAATAATAAATTTTTTCGTGATTGGATTTTCCATAATTTCTTAAAATAAAAATGTAAAGAAAACATTGTAGACTAATAAAATAAATATTTGAGCTTTTTCTCTTCATTGCACCAGTGTTTTGTTCGCATAAAAATTTCCGAAAATTTTCGTAAATTTTTAATAAAAAGTAAATTATAAATTTAAACATTTTTTTTGTGTTCTAAAAATTAAAACAATTAATTTTTGTTTTGTCCTACAAAAAACTTTTGGTGCATTCATTAAAATTTGAAACCATTTTAAATAAAAAATAAAATTATATAAATATATATATCATAAAATAATTATATATAAAACTAAAAGCTTTTTGACAAATTGTTTTTGCCTTGGGCATAAATTCAATATTTTGTATACTCTTTTTTTCTTCTTCTTTTTTCTAATAAAATATTTTGTTTTTTGCTTTCTTCCACTAAATTCTTTATATATTCTATATATAAAATATTGTAATGAATATATACGATATATAGGTATAACACAAACAAAAAAATTGAAAACTTTTTGTACTCACTTTTCACTGTACTCATCCATGTGGGCATACGATTGCACGGAATTCTCTTCAATCAAAAATTTGACACGTTGATAGAATGATGCCGTCACCGAGGGTGGCTGTTTACGTAACAGTACTTCCACAGGATCATTTGAGGATAAACACATAATATGCTCGGAACAGGCTGGATGTGAACAACATTCACTGTCTGAACAATCTGTCATACCGTCTGTAAACAAAATGAAAATTGGAGAGGAAGCAAAAAAATAATGAAAACGTGGTTGGAGCATGAATTACATCCACATTGGGAGGTTTTTTTGTGGATGGTGGGAGCACGACATATTTCTAATGTGTTTCAATTTCAAAGAACACCGACAACAACAAAAATGAAAATTACATAAGTGTATTAAAAGAAGATGGATGATGGTAATAAGTAAACCGAAAAAATGTTATAGAACACATGGGCATATCACAATTAGTACCCATGACGAAGTCTTTTTTTTCGTTTGCAGGATTTTCTTAATGAAATTAAGAAGAAAAAGCTTTTTTTGTACGAAAGCTCTGATAGGAAATTTGGTAAGGAAAAACAAACAATTATTAATATATGTAGGAGATAACGTGTCTTCACAATTGGGAAAAAAAGTTAGACTCATAACAGAAATTGTTAAAATAGTGAGTTTCAAAATACCTCAAATTGACGGAACTTGACCTTGAATATCCGAATTCTCAAATTACAGGTATTTAAGTGGGTACCTTAGAAATGCTTAAAATGAGGCATGAAACAGTCTAAAATTCAGATGGGAAAAAATTGTCTAAAACCGTAAAAATGGGAAAAATTGTCTAAAACCGTAAAAAACTGAACATTTTGTTTTTGTTTCATGAACGAAACACCATATTCCAAACTAGGCTATAAACTTCCAACTACTGGAAATGCGGCAGAACTTTTACCATTTAAAAATTTTGGATATAAAAATAGGATAAAACCAGTAAGAAAAGAAGTAAAGTCGGACGGGGCCGACTATATGATACCCTTCACCACTTTGGGTATATTCAACAGATGAATCCTAACAGACCCATTTTTAAAGGACCAGTAAAATGAAAATTAACCCATAAACATGTCATTCTGCAACCGATACTAAATTTTTCATTTAGTCAGATATAGAAGCTATATCTAAATCTGAACCGATTTTCAGGAAACTTAACACACATTATTCTAGACCTAATTCATTACGCTTTGCCAAATTTCGTGCACATCGAAAGATATATAGGGACTTTGGTGCACCATTTACATTTAATAGCACGAAAATATATATGGGAGCTACATCTAAATCTGAACCGATTTTCAGGAAACTTAACACACATAATTCTAGACCTAATTCATTACGCTGTGCCAAATTTCGTCAAATCGAAAGATATGTAGGGGCATTGGTACACCATTTACTTTAAATCGGACGAAAATACATATGGAAGCTATATCTAAATCTGGACCGATTTCCAGGAAACTTAGCACACATCATTCTAGACATACTTCATTACGCTATGCCAAATTTCGTGCAAATCGAAAGATATTTAGGGACATTGGTACATTATTTACATTAAATCGGACGAAAGTATATATGGGAGCTATATCTAAATCTGGACCGATTTTTTCCAATTTCAATAGGGTTCGTCCTTGGGCCAAATAAGTGACTTGTGCCAAATTTCATACAAATCGGATTATAAATGCGACCTGTACTTTGTTTAAAATATAACATCTACAGACGGACAGACGGACGGACGGATATGCATAAATCGACTCAGAAAGTGATTCTATGCATATTCTCAAAAGGAACCCTGTGTCTATCTCGTTTCCTTTTGCCTGTTACAAACATATGCAGAAAGACTTAATACCCTGTACCACAGTGTGGTGAAGGGTATAAAAATATATGGACACAATATCAAAACTTGCACTTATATATTAATTTTCTTTTAGCCCGAAATATACTTTGATAACCGCAACCTCTAAAATCAAATACTTAATTTGGAAGTTGGCCTCCAGAACCTTTGAAATCCCCAAAAATGAGGCAGCATCTCTTATCAACTCTTATACCCAAAACGTTTAAGTATAGCCTCTTCTATTGGAAAATTATATTAGGTTCACAGAGAACGGTAAGTTGGGCAGAACTTTTCTATGAGGGCAATTTCGAAACGTGGACCTTTATTTAAAATGTCCTTCGAAACCGAAATACGCTTTGATAACCGAAACAAGCTTTGAAATACTATTAATGAGGAAGTACCTTTTATCAATTATATACAGAAAATACTCAGGTATATATCCTCATAGATTGGAAAACGGTGCTGGGTCCATAAAAAACGGAAAGTAGTTCGGAACTTTTCTATGGGGACAATATCAAACATTTTATCTGTATTTATGACTTTCTTAGAAACAATAAGAAGTATGAGGCATTTAATTCGGAAAATGCTGCGAAGGCATTTAAATGTCAAAATATGAACATGGTTTATGTTTTCAGATATTCAAAATTATAGCTACTTGCGTTGGAAAATGGAAATCAAAATAGTAGCCTCCCAAATTCCGAAACCCCAAATTATAGCCCATTCGGTTGAAAATGATGTTTCAATATACATTAAATATACCGGTATAGTTAAAGAGTGAAATTTTACAAGTAGAAAGCATAATTCTACCCCTTCGGTGGGAAAAATACATGTAGGAAATATATTATAGGGGGACCTTTCCAAAATGTACAGAAATTCTGTTGAACATTTTCCTTAAATCTTCGTAATAATTAACATAGGCCGATATGTTTAAAAATTTACTACAACAATTTCTAGGTAAACATGTGAAGTTATAGCCAAAATACGAAAATGTAGTCACTTCGATTGAAAATGTTGTCATTGGATCGTCAATATAGGCCGTTACGCTTATATAGGGGCAGTAAAATATCAAAAGAGTAGCTATGTAAGCCTTCTTTATCATTGGGAAATATTTCACTCTCTAGAAATAAATCTAAACTCCTTAGATAGCTAATAGAAAATGCATATATTTAAATCTTCACACACACACACTCATCCATAAAATATATTTTCATTCCAAAATATTTTCATGTTCATGTGTATAACAACACAATCACGTAACCGTTTTGGTTTTCTTCTTCTGTGGCACTCACATGTCAATATAAATCCTCAAACGTACACAAACCTGTACACACGCACACACACACTCGGAGTCTCCCATGGATGTAAGAGTATTCCCGTTGTTATGCTATGTTATTCTCACGTGAGATTTTGACAGGTAACAAAAACCACTCTCAAGCCTGCCAAAAAATTGCCGCCGTCACAACAAATCCTTAACGTCACTAAACGTGTGCGTGTTAAAAAAAATGATACAACAATAACAAAAACAACACCATCATCTGAGACTGCTATCAAAAGTTTTTCCACAACAATAGGTGAATGTTTTGTTGTAAATAAGAACAACGACATAGAACAGAGTGCAGCAAAACAACAACACTGATGATGTTGTTCCCTTTTGTTTTATGCTTCTTCTTTCATGTTATGTGAAATTTTCTTTACAGTAACATATTTCACAGACGAACACAAACACACACACATGTATGCATACAACATATACTATCAAACATGTGCGTACATTTTGACATGATGTGAAGTACGTAGTACACATCATCCATAGAGATGTTGAAGTGTTTACGTGAGTCAGGTATGACTTAAGAGGTTGCCACACTGCCAGTACTGCCAGAATATGTGGCATATGCAGGATCACGTATTCAAGTAAGACATGTTTTTAAATATTAACCCTTCGTGTATTTGTTCAATAAACACAAGACCCAAAGACAATCGACATACTCCATAAACATGTTAGTATATATGGAGGACCTTCAGCATCAGAATGGTTAAATTTATTTTCGTTTTTTGCAAGAAAGAAAAAATGTCATCTTTGTTTCTTTTTATTTAAAATACTTAGGTGTATAGGTATTTATTGTATGAGTGGGGCGTTGCCGGAAGTTTTGAGAAATATGAAAATATTTATATTGTATGGCCATGGTGAGGTATTTTATTTAAATGGTCAAAAACATGCCAGAAAAAAAAACCTAAAATGAGAGGTAAGGCACACACTCCATTTTGTATTTTGAAAGACTTATCCACAAAACTTTTACGTTTCGAAAGTTCTGCTAAATAATGTTTAGGTCCGAACGAAGTGACTGAAGGCAATTTGTCAATAAAGTTATATTTTTTTCATATATGGGTCTGCACCATTTTAGGTATTTTTAATGTCCTAGCCATTTTTTGGAAATGTGGCCCATCAGACTCCAAGTCTTTATTCATCGCGCAATTTAATGCAAGTTAATATTATGTCATAGTCCTCTGGACCCTGAATTGATGTAACGTTGTTGAATCGAATTTTTGGAAAAGAAAATTTTGCATTGTTAATATATTGATTCCGGTCACAATGACTATAAGAAGTGCATATTTCACAATTGGGATCTATCGCAAATTTTTCCACAAAGCACCAAGATTTTGAACAATTGTAAATTTCATATGAAGAAAATGGAATCTCCGATATGATCCATCCATTACATAACGTAATATTTATTTTCGAACTATATTAAATCTGTCTGCGTCTGCAGGATAACTTTAACTGGCACAGCAGTTAAAGTCGGAAAGGACCTATCGGAGTCCTTTAATACCGAACGAGGATTGAGACAAGGTTGGCTGGAAGAAGTCATACCAGAGGCATAGGTGAACAAACATTGCACTCTGTACACCAAACAAGACATGTTACACGATATAATGGACCGAACATTACGAGCGTTAACAGACACTGTTGAAGAAATTGAAAATGAGTCTGCCAAAGTTGGTCTGGCAGTAAATGGCGAGAAGACAAAGCTAATGGTATCAACGCGCAAGACTTACAGTAGACTCGGACCAACTGTGGATCTTGATAACTGCAACTTCTAGGTATCCAAAGATTTTATATACCTTGCTACCGCCATAAATAGAACTAATGCCATCAGTTTTGAAATTCGGAGAAGGATAGTGATGGCCAACAAATGCTAACACTTGCTGGTTTATGGATCTGAAGCATGGGCACTTACGCAAGCATATGAGGAGTTCTTGGGGTGTTTGAGAGAAAAATTCTCCGAAAGATCTATGGGCTGATCTGGGTTGACGATTAATATCGCCATAGAATAAACCCTGAGTTGTAACATCTATACTCGGATATAGGCATTGTCAGACGTATCGAGCTGCAGCCACTACGTTGGCTAGGTTATGTTGTGAGAAAGGATGAGGATACCCCAGCACAAAAGGCATATAAAAGCGAGTCAACTAATGACTCACGCAGAAGTGGAAGGCCACGAATTAGATGGAAAGATCAAGTGGAAGAAAACATTTTGGCACATGGTCTTTAAAATGGGAAAAATTGCGCGCAAGACCGACTTGCCTGGAAATCGTTTTTAAGCTCTGTTTATGGAACATATGTTCTGCTAAGTAAGCTAAGTAAGTACTATTAAATCTGAAGATGGAGTTTCCTTTACATAATCGTCTGAGGATTCCTGGGTAATTTAACTGAGGCCATTACATCCAGAGAAATTCACTGTTTGGTGCGTTCTATGGTCCGAAAGTGTGATTGAACCTTACTTCTTCGATAACGTTTATGGTCATCGGCAATTTGAAGCGTTATGGTGGTATGATAACCGACCGTTTTGCCTGCTTTTGAAGAATACGACTTGGCAAATACGAGGTTTTAAAAAGACCGTGACACAAACTACACAATTCGAACCTATATGGTTGTATTTATAACAAATACGGGCTCTATAGGCCGATACCCTCCTATCACTCATTAATTTGAAATTGGTCTCCAATAATTTTCAATTTTCGAATCGAATTTCAATAAAGGTAGATATGGAATGAATAGAATTTATCGACCATGAGGAATGGACCATTAATTTTCAGATATAGAAACTAAAATGTCAAAATATTATACAATTATGAGGAGGTGTGTCAAAGACTGGGGGTATAGATCTGTTGGAAAAATCAACTGATAATTTGTAACTAGTTTAGATATTTTTTTTGCATTATTTAGAGGCCACTTTGAGTACAATTTTTGCAAATCCCCACCTAGTATCCCTGTTGATATTCACTTGGATTTGTTTAGTGACAACTTTTAATATGAATTGAAAAATTAAAACAAGGATAAGAGTAACTCTCAAGATCAAAGTAGAATCTGGGCATGTCGTTTTAAATAAAATTTACAACAACAACAAAACATGTTGCAATACATATAAAACTGGCATTTCCCTACATTATTTAGCATTTAAGAAATGGTATAAGAAAAAATACGAAAGGAAATAGGGAAGGGGAATAACACTCAACCAACCAAGAAATGGGTAATATTTATGAGAGCTCTTCAAAGCTTGAAAAACATTTAAGGATGTTTTATTCACTTTATGTGCTATGTAAATGTATGTGTGTAGAGTATTTATGAACGTTAGTCTGTCACATATATTAACCCCATGTTTTGAGTTGCTATTTTCCAATTTTCCTTCCATGACAAATCTGCTTATATTCAAAGTTGATTTAAATTTCCGTTGATTTCCTTCTGTTTTTGATTTGTGTGTGTACGCTCACTTCCCGTTTTTTGATTTACACTTCACCTTGAGAACGTGACGTGACGATTTGTAAAACGTATGCTTTTTGTTACGTATTTTGCATTTCGTTTCTCCATTTGAGTAATATTATTGCCAACAATTGAATGCTTTTAGCACCAATAACAATTTGTTGCCAATTTTTTTTAAAGGATATTGCAGGGAAAACATGAAATAACAACAACAACACACACACTTCCATCATAAGTGAAAAAATACACAATATTAGCATTAGCAAGTGTTCGTTCATCCGCTCTTTGATTTCTTTATTTTCGTTACTTCTGTATTTGCATAGGTGATGTTTTCTTCCTTGTAAAGATTTTACGAATTGTTTATTGAACTCTCTCTAATAAAGGAAATACATCCTGTCAACCATAGAAGTGTACTTCACTTCACTTAGAAGGTGATAATATGGGTATTTGTTGCAATGTAAGAGCTGGCAATTGATTTAAATTATCAATGAGATTGATGTGTTACAAAAAATAAAAAGGGAAGGAGGGAAGGAAAATGAAAAACTTAAACCAGGATGCAGTTTAACTCGATTTTTTTCCTATTGTAAATTATCAATAAAGGCCTCAATTTCAGGGTAGCCTTCTTCTTAAAAAACCCCTACAGATTTTAGTCATTTAGAATTCAGTCTGGTCGACTAGTACTTTTTTGTAACATACTGACGGAAGGCTTCGAAAACTTTTGCCATGTCTACGAAATTTTTCTCTTTAAGTCTTCGATAAAATCTTCTCATCATTAGTAAATTAATTGTTATTTTTGTATTAAAAAATATAAATTATTACCCTCAATAACCTTTAACGCAATCCTTGATTTTTGTGATTCCCTTTTCTATGATTTTTTTTATTAATTTCATTTGGGACTTTTTTTATTATTAAAGAACAAATAAGTTGGCTACACAATTTTGACATACAGATTTAATAATAATTTTTGATTGAAAAGTTTTGTCTACCAACACAATATCGCCAATACATTTGGGAAATAAATGAATGGAACGTGTAGACGGTTGAAAACAACAATCTCGTTGCCTATACATATATTCCTAAGCGAACACAAAAAAAAGAAAAACAAAACTCACAATTATTAATTAAATATGAAACCATTCAAAGGAATCAATGAAAAAATCTTGAGAATATGCCGCTTATCAAGAAATATAAGACTTAAATTAAGAAAATATGTTTTTTTAAGAAAATTATTGAGATTGTGCTCTTCAACTTTATTTTATTTTCTTTCTTTTCTTCATATATATTTTTCTCTTCTTACCTCCATCATTATCGATATTATCCTTGCAATTCATTTCCAATGCAATTGAACAATCCGAACCAGCCCATCCTTCAATACAATCACAACGATATTCACCATTTTCCAAAGTGCATTGACCATGACGTGAACAACCATTTTCACAACCAGCTGAAATTAAAGGAGTAAAGAAGAAATAAGTAAAAAAATCAGTACACAAGAACAAAAGTATACAAAAAAATTGACATAAAAATCATTCCACTCCAGCATTTTTCTTTCTTTTTTTTCATAGAGCAAACATGGCCCACTGTACATAATTAATGAACGAAATCAAAGTTCAATGATTGAAAACCCAGGAATGGCAGACAAATATGAACTATGGCTCTGGCATGGCATAAACCAAACGAGTATAATAAAACAAGGACATGTAACTTGCAACATGAAACAATGAAGTATAAATTATTTATTCACTGAAATATTGTGTTTTGTTCTTCGTATATATTCCATAGAGATTTCTGCTATTGTTGGATTGAGGTTATTGAACTTTGGACAAAAATATTTGTATTTTTTTAATATCAGTTATTTAAAGAAAATAAAATATTAGCCAGTAAGGAAAGTTCAAAAGTCGGACGGGGCCGACTATATGATACCCTTCACCACTATGGGTACATGCAAGACATGTTAATATCTACAATATCCTGTTGATATACAAATTTCGCATACATCAGTCGGGACTTAATTCGGTACTCTGTGCAAAATTTTGCTTCAATCGGAACAATATTGGGAGTTTGGTGCACAATTTACTTTAAATCGGACGAAGCTATATATGGGAGCTATATCTAAATCTGACTCGATTTCAACAAAATTTCACATACATCAGTCGGGACTTAATTCAGTACTTTGTGCAAAATTTTGCTTTATTCAGACCACTATTGGGAGTTCGGTGCACTATTTACATTAAATCGGACGAAACTATAAATCGGGGCTATATCTAAATCTGAACCGATTTCAACAAAACTTGCCATATAAGTATCTAGACCTAATTCAATACTCTATGCAACATTTTGTCTTTATGGATCACTATTGGGAGAAAAATGGTGCATCAATAAATCAAAATCGGACGAAAATATATATGTGGAGCTATATCTAAATCTGAACCGATTTTCTCCAATTTCAATAGGGTTACTGTATTGGGCCTATTACAGTGGAAAAAATCAGCTAAATTTTATAAAAATCGGATCATAAAAGAGGGTGAATATTAATAATTTTTTGTAGGGAGATTTGTTACCATATACGACTACAAAATACCTAATTCCAGCGGACTCGGTTAAAAACGGGCTCAGAAAGTGATTATATGCATATTCTACCAGAAAAAATGGACCTATATTTATAATTTTTTGCCTGTTACAAACATAATAACTGAAATTACTGAATTACAGCCAATTCGTGAAAAAAGTGTGGTGAAGCCCCCCAAAAACTGGAAATTTGGAGGTTATATGGGGGCTACCAGAAAAATTGGACCTATATTAATTATTTTTAGTGGGGAAATTTGGTACCCAATACCCAATGTACCAAAATTCAGCGAATTCGGTTGAAAAACGGGCTAAAGAACCCCAAAATACAGAAATTTGAGGGTACCCTTATATGGGGGCTACCCCATTTGCTACGCAATAAGAACTCATAGTACCAAATTTCAGCGAATTCGGTTGAAAAACGGGCTCAAGAACCCCAAAATACCGAAAATTGGGGGTACCCTTATATGAGGGCTACCCGAAAAAATGGACCTATATTTATAATATTTTGTGGAGACATTAAGTACCCAATAAGAACCCAGTGTACCAAATTTCAGCCAATTCGTTGAATAAATCCGGTCAAAACCCCCCAAAAATTAAAATTTGGGAGGTACCCTTACATGGGGGCTACCAGAAAAAGTGGACCTATATTTATAATTTTTAGTGGGGAAATTTGGTACCCAATAAGAACCTAATGTACCAAAATTCCTACCCTCGTATGGGGGCTACCCGAAAAAATTTACCTATATTTATAATTTGTAGTATAGAGATTTTATACCCAATAATAACTCAAAGTACCGAATTTCAGCGAATTCGGTCGAAAAATGCGATCAAACACCCCAAAATACCGCAAAATTGGGGCTATCCCAAAATATGGACCATATTTATAATTTTTAGTGGAGAAATTTGGTATCCAAAAAGAACCCACTTTATCAAATTTCAGCGAATTCAGTTAAAAACGCGCTCAAACCCCCCAAAATACTGAAAATTTGGGGGTAACCTTATATGGGAGCTATGCCTAAACGTGGATATAGCCCATCTGCCTGCAGACAAATGACGACTCTATGCAAAATTTTGGCATTCTATCTAACTGCATCACTATTTTTTGTACTTCCAGATAAACTGAATTTTTCGAGCAATTATAATTTTGAACTGACAGTGAAAAAAAATGAAAATGAAAATGGAATTTCCCCGAAAATATTCTAAACAAAGTATGCAAAATTTGTCAAGAATTTACAAGAAATTTCATTAGAAGTTATTTTTTCTTCCTTCGTTCGGTTGCTCCCAAAAGTATGCATCATGTTTGTCTTGTTTAAATCCAGAAAAATATCATTCATATTAACATTTAGCTTATCAACTAATTCCGGACACTTTCATTTTTTTCTGATTATTTCTATGAACAACTAAAAGTATGCTTTGCTTATGACCTGGATTTTTGTCAAATATGTCAAATTCCCACTAGTTTCAAATTTTTCTGATAACCTAAAAGTATGCATTATTTCAATGTATTCTAAACAAAATTTGTCAGAATTTTACCCTGAATTTCATTAGAAATGTTTTTTTATTTATTTTTTTATATTCCCAAAAGTATGCATCACATTTATTCGTTACTAGATATTTTATAAATATGAAACATATTCATAACCCCAGCATTTTTCTAATACTAATATTTTATTTTTTATTTTTTAATTGACATTTAGTAATAATTTTTTTCCATTTTCCTAAAAGTATGCACCAGAATTTATATCTATATCATCCATTCCGAGAATATATCCATATAAATTATAAATGAAGTGAATGAACAAGCGCATATACCACATAACAACAAACATTACTACACGATTTTTCACTTAACTGATTGATTGCACAAAAAAAACGTTTTTGGGAATATAAATAAATTATTAAAAAAAAATTCGGAAGAAAAAAACATAAAATTGATTTCTCTTAAATGTCATGAAAATTTGGTATCGATAGACATGTGAATAATATTGAAATGCATATTATTTATGAATCAAAATGAGAGAACAAATTAAGAAATATTAAATATATAAAGCTTTTGAAAGTCGAATGACACTCAAGTCTTTCATTGGAAAAAAAATATTTAAACAATAGGTCTAATATCCGTGAGCAAACATGTCATATTTAGAAAATATTAATACACATCACTATCGTAGATCCATGTATTTAAAGCATTCGAATTCTTCATCAGTTACTGGACACGAAATTCACAATAGAATGTAATATTTAATTTTCTTTTGTACGTCTTAGTATATGAAAGAAGGAGATTGGAATTCAAATCGAATGAAATTTTAATTTCGTTGCACATTAAACGTGAGTTGCCTGGTTTCAACACCCATTCGCCTTAAACTATGCATCACACATTTGCCTTAAGGTCCTCCCTTACAGACATAAGCAATTCAGGTATGTTGCATATTTTTAGGATTTATTTTCAGTTTCCTTTCTTTTCTATCATTCCATTTCAAAATGTCTGACATTGAAGTTAAACTAATGTCTTTGAGAGTTATATTTCATTTCGGTCGCATGTTTTTTTCATTTTGTTGCATTCTTGTGTGTGTGTGTATTAGTATTTCTTTCAAAAAGACATTTGTCGTCTTGTTATTTTTTAATATTCCTTACATTTCCTAACATGTCACATTATTTTCAGTTGTAGCTTTTTTTCATTTTTTGAAAATTTACAACATAACATGAGGCGTCTGGTTTTATATAATACATATAATTGAAAAGAAATCTCTCAAGGCAACGAAGACGACGATGACAAAAAGCAAATGATATTACATTTAGCATTTGCATTAACAAGTGTCAAACAGCTGACGATCTGTCTGGCTGTCTAGCTTTGGAATGTTATACAAAGGAAATTATTTTAAAAAATGCTGCATACTTTTGGGAGTGTTAGAGTGAAAAAAATGTTTTTCATTTTTATTACAGGAAAAAAATATATAGGAAATTCTCCTTAAAATGAGTATGGAGTGTTGCAAAATTATAGCATTGTATTTGGTGCATATTTTAAGGCGCAGCAATCAAAAGTGTTTATATAGGAAATACAAGACTTTCCTTTAAGAGGCATGGCATTGAGTATAAATAGTTAAGTAGTTTTTATTCAATTTAATTTTTTATATATTGAGTTGCATACTTATAGGCTGAGTTTCAAAATATTTATATTAAAAAGTATTTTTTTCTTTTATTTTTTTTTGATTTTTTATACCCTCTACCATAGTATGGAGGGTATATTAAGTTTGTCATTCCGTTTGTAGCTCAAAAATGATTTCCGTATGGAGTATATATATTCTTGCAAAATTATAATCACGTATTTTTCGAAAGAATTTAGATAGGGTGCATATTTTATAGGGTTGTCTTTTGCAGCAATCAAAAGTGTTTATATATCGGTCCACGTTTAGGCATAGACTTTCCTATAAGGGTACCTCCAAATTTTCGGTATTTTATGGGTCCTTGAGCTCGTTTTTCAAACGAATTCGCTGAAATTTGGTACATTGGGTTCTTATTGGGTACTAAATGTCTCCACAAAAAATTATAAATATAGGCCGACTTTTTCTGGTAGCCCCATATAACGGTACCTCCTAATTTTCAGTATTTTGGGGGGTTTTGGTCTTATTTTCCCACTGAATTGGCTGTAATTTAGTACTTTGGGTTCAAAATAGGTTCCAAATCACTCCACAAAAAATTTTGAATATAGGTCCATTTTTTCTGGTAGCCACCCATATAAGGGTACCCCCAATTTTGGTATATTGGGTACCAAATATCCCCACTTAAATTGATAAATATAATTCCATTTTTTCTGGTAGCTCCCATATAAGGGTACCCCAAATTTCGTTATTTTTGGGTTCTTGAGCGCGTTTTTCAACCGAATTCGCTGAAATTTGGCATATTGGGTTCTTATTGGGTACCAAATATCTCCACTTAAAATTATAAATATAAGTCCATTTCCGGCATTTGGAGGTTCTTGAGCGCGTTTTTCAACCGAAATCACTGAAATTTAGTATTTTGTAAGCGTATATGGAAACAAATCGCCCTACAAATAATTATTAATAATCAACCTCCTTTAGGCGTAGTCCCCATAGAATCCCATTTTTAATATTAATATAATTATCTGATTTTTCCGCGTTTTGGGTTTGGTTCTAACATTCTGTTGTAATCATTTCACCCGCGAAGGATATCGACATAAAAAGTAGAACGTACGGTTCGATAATGAACTATATGTGAACTATAGCCCGCATTTAGGCTTAGCCGTAGCCACTGTGTGGGAGCTACCAGAAGGCATGGACCGATATTCCCCAAATTCGGACTTGAACTTAGTTTTTTCTGAAACGGATTTGGTCCCAAGAAACATGGGGTCTAGAACCAATATTTCGATGAGGCACATTTTCACCGTCTGAAAGTGTATATACACTAATTAGCCATAAGGCTGAGGGTATAATTTTCTATTAAAAATTATTGTTGCCTTTCCTATTAATAAGGATATGAAAATCAATATGAAAATATTGCATACTTTTAGGAGCCTTAAAGAGTGAATACTGTTTTGTAATGGAAAACATAAGTAGGAAATTACTTTCCAGAGGAAGAACAAAATGAGTATAATGTTTTTATAATATTTTCTTTAATTATTGTTGGTGTATAAGGCAAGGCGTAACAGGGAAAATGATTTTTAAGGAATTATTTAAGATTTTTTACAAATGAATAAAGAGACCATATTATTAATGTCCATTTGAAAAAAAATTATTGCATAGTAGCTGACGAGGTCATTTTTTTATTTTTTACATTTTTGGAATAATTTATTTTTATTTTTTAATATTTATATTTTATTTTTTAGTTATTGAATCTTCAATTTTATTTATTTTTTTAATTTCATTAATTTGTTAATGTGCATTAAAAGTTTTATTGTTTTTATTTGCTTTCCTTTCCTTGGCTTCATTGCGTCTTCTATTGCTTATTTCCTTAATAAGCAATAAAAGTTTGTTTTTAGTTGCAACACTGCAATAAATAAACTATTTAAAACAAATTTGATTTTTTTCTATTCCCTTTGTCATCAATATTCTATGAAAGAGAAGTATTTGGTGGTGGTGTTGGTGATTTGTTTTGATATTTATTTTATACCGCCATCAAGAACTTTGCATTACTTTATTGAGTATTATTTTTTGTTGCTGTTTGCAATTGTCTGCAAAGTTTTAAATTTGATTTTATTTATTTATATTTATGCGATACACAAAAGCCACAATTCCCTGTCATTCGGAGTGTTATTTTTCTATCTTCCTTTTGTTGTTATTGAAAGACGATTGTAAAATCAATACATGTTTGGTTTTTTGCTGTGGTTTCATTTTAGTTAGTTTTATACTTACGCAATGTGCAATGTCTTCCATTCCATCCTTGGGAACAAACACAGGTGCCATTTTTACATTGTCCATGTTCCGAACAGCGTGCATCACAGGGCAATTGATCACATAGATTTCCGGTCCAGCCAGGATTGCAACGACATTTGCCGGACTCACAAACACCATTGGGACCGCAATCTAAACTGCAAACAGCTGTTGTGGGGAAATATCAAAAGAAAGAACAAGAAAATAAAAGAAAATATTAGCTGAGTGAAGTGTAAATAGTAAGTAAATACAGGTATATTTGTATAGTATACTTTAAGGCGTCGGACTAATAGCTATTTGAAATTAAATTTTAAATAAAAATAAGAATAAACTTAACTTGCGATCTAAATAACAAATTGAATACTAAAAAACCAATTCAATTAATTTACAGTCTAAATTATCCACCCCTAAGGCTAAAAACGGCAACCATCATCGGCATATCTCTCCAAAAATCATCTTTAAAATATTCAGTTTATTAAATCTTAACCTTGTCAATAAACTTTATAAACTTCCCAAGGCAGGTAAATCTCCGACATCATGCAATTTTCCCTTTTGCCCAAAAAAAATTTCAAATTATATTATATGATATTATGAAGTTTTTCCATTCTCTTAAATTTACCTTAAACGAAAACAATCAACCTATATCTACAGGATATATGCATGTATGTGCAAATGTCTGTGTAAACACACCATACAAAAAGCCAATATGTCATTTAATCACAGACAAAAAATCTCATACACATTGAAAGTACATTAACCCTTTTATCAAGGAAAATTGAAAAAAAAAACTGGAATGAACCCAACGTTGTTTTTTGTTGTTGCTTATTTTAGTTTGAAAATAAGTTTAGACCAGGTTATTTGCCAATCAACCGTGTGCATGTGAGTGTGTGTGGGTGTTTTGAGAATATCTGCTATTGAATACATTTGATTGTAGGGTTGGTTGGTTGGTTGGCTAAGCGTAACGAAAGATAAAAAACAAACAGCAACTAAACCAGACGCCAGTCAACCTGACTGAATATGATTATAGACGAACACACACACATACACTCACACACAACGTAATGTAGACACTATGCCACATGAAAACAGGAGGTATTTTTTTTTTTTCACCCCAGACTAAACCAATGAGTTTTTGTGGCTGTATATCTACATGTATGTAGGTATCTCCTACCATGGTTTTGTGTGTTGAAGTTATGTTTTCAAATGTTTTGCTATGTAGAAAAATCAATGATTGAGTTTTGTGCCCTGATATACGTACATACATATAGACGGCATATGATAAAAATAAACCTTAAATGCCTGGCTATATTATGAAGAAGAAAAAAACAAACTTGAACTGAATTATAGTTCAAATAGCTATATTAGGTATGGATATAAAGGCAAGCAGAAATAGGCAAAGGATCAGGCTTTTGAATAAAGATTTCGTCTACGCTAAATATGCCCTGGTTTGGCTATAGTCTTAGCCTTCCAACTCCTCTTCGTCGTCTTATTTGTCTGTAAGGTTTATAGGGATTTAACTGACTGACTTGCCTGACTTTTGACAGAATATTGTTGCGGGTGTTGTGTACTTTGAGTGCTAGGCAGCCAGGTGAATGTGTCTTAATTTAAAAAAAAGTAGAAGAAGAGAAAAAACCAAAACTACTTAAGATGTAGTCGCTGTAGTAAAAAAAAACTCTTCAGGTTGATGAGACTAAGTTTTTTGTCTGCAGCTGTTATTTTTTTTTGTAGTTTTTGTTATTATTGTTTGTGTAGAAGGCTAAGGTAGAATATTTGAAGACAAAAGATTGTCTAGTTATTATAGGGTTATACATTTTGAAATATTACAAATGTGAGAGAAGAAATGCAGTGACTAAAAAATAAGGACCAAAATATTGAATATAGATTGAGACAAAAATATTCAAATTCTCGCCCTGAATTTCATTGAAACTATAAAAACTCGATCAGATAATTTTGTAAATAGAAAGATCCTGAGAAAAATCGGATAACCGTGGAAATTTAGAGCGTAGAGTATTTTTGTTATGGTCGACTGGGGTCTTCAAAATTCAGTGGAATACCACCGAATAGCCAGGAGGGTTAGTGGTGGGAAATTCGCTTAGGATCTCTTATATATCGAAAGTTGAACGGGACATTTATAGGTCAGCATACGGTCCTTTAATTAAATATATTTTTGATAAGGAGTTGTTTTCACACAAATAACCCAAAATATGAAATTACTGATATTTGTGATGGGAAATGGTCTTCGGAGAGGATTGTAGGGCTCACAAACATTATCATCTTCTAAATATACATTTTTATCCTCCAAGAACCAACAGCCGCCTAATTGGGAAAGACTTTCAAAATAGAAAAAATCGTTTGGGGTGTTGATGTGGGTTATCGGCTCGGCCGGGCCGAACTTTGGATACCCTCCACCATACATATACTGACAGGTACTTGAAATGAAAATATAGGGAAAATACAAAAAGTGGACCTATATCGACATTTCTACAAACCGAAAATTTTAATGGTTAATATACCCTCAGCTTTATGGCTAAGGAGGGTGTATACACTTTGACACAGTTAAATTGTTATAGACCCCATGTTTCTTTGGACCTTTGGTGATAGTTCATATATAGTTCATTATCGAACCTTACGTTCCATTTTTTTATCTCGATATCATCCGCAGGAGAAATGATTACAACAGACCGTTAGAACCAAATATGGGGGCTATCCGAAAAAATGGACCTATATTTATAATTTTTTGTGGAGACATTTAGTACCCAATAAGAACTTAATGTACCAAATTTCAGCGTATTCGGTTGAAAAATGAGCTCAAGAACCCCAAAATACCGAAAATTAGGAGGTACTCTTATATGGGAGCTATGCCTGAACGTGGATCGATATATACCATCTTCCCTTAATTAAAGTTTTTTTTTTTAAGACCTGCCTGCACACAAATAACAAAATATGCCAAATTTGTGATGTACCCTATCTCAATTTCTTTTCAAAAAAGATTTTTAAAGAATTCAACAGAATTGGACGGACATTGAAAATAGCATCGTCTTTGAATTTTACTTTACTAAGGTGGAAGGTATAAAAATTCAGAAAATGTGGATTTATTTTATCTAAATTAATATTAGGATCTGAAAATCTAAGGGGGTACGAAAGGAAGGAATTTTTACGATATTTTAGACCATATCCACACCAATAATATATTAGAAACTATTGGGGAATACCATGTGTACTGCTATGACACCGTAAGCAAAAATTAACGTATGGGCTGTTACATGAACCAATACTGAAATGATGAAGGTTTCGGTGAAGCTTTTCTTTCATCGAGGTATATGCCAGTATTTGATATAAAAGATTCCAAATATACACAGATATTCTGATAAAATTGTGTCCGTAAATTATATGTCTGTTTTATCTTCATTTGGGACCTGCACAGGATTTGAATCAAAATTAATTATATTGGTTATCACTTGGACGGCCTAGCCATTGCATTTTCATTTGTAAATTCTGTAATTTTTATTTGTATTTTTTTTTATTATTTTTAGAACCCTCTCCTGACATTACCTTACATTATTCATAACTATGCCCTATGTTGGCTGCTAAGTATATGATAGGTCTGCCATAAGATTTTTTTTTTCTTTCTTTCATAGACTTTAAATATACCATAAAAAGAACACATTACAAAACTAGCAACAACAACAACATTACCTTGCATTAGAAAAATGAACGGCATCATAAAGAAAAGATACTAGCTTTTTTTCCCATCCTCATCTTCAGCTTCAACTTATGCCAACATTAAGACTTGCCTTTCATCATAAACTCATTTTGTGTTGCTTTACTCTATTTATCCTTAGTCTCCTTCATTTTTTGTTGTTGATGTGTTTTTTGTGCTCCCTAACTAAATACTCTGGGCCAAGGAGCCATAAATTTAGTAGTAGTAGTTTCTTTAAGAAATAGACCGGGTTCTTGGTGTGCCTCTTAAGGATATGTAAAGGCCTTAAAGTCCTTCATGTGTTTTTTTCTGCAGTTTCTTTCATGCACTCATTTTGATGCTAAGGGGAGAAAAATCTACATTTTTTTCACATACAACAGTAAGTATATGTCAGTTGCCATAACATTCATTAACTCAGGGACGTATCTGCCTGTCTCTGCCTGTATGTGGGAGACAAGAAAATGCCAGGTATGAATGAATGTTGTTGTTTTTTTATTTCTTAAGGATTCTTTATGAAATAAATCACTCAAGTGTGTAACGCCCTGGTTGTGTTTTTTTTTTTTTTTTTTTTTAAGGAGAAAAGAAAGAGTTTCTTTCTTATCATCTGCATATGTGTGAGGGCATGGAAAAGCGAGTGTATACACACACACACCCATACATGAACATCCATATCCTTGAAGATAAGCTTTAATGTTTTGAAAACAGGGCATGTTTTTATTATAAAATAAATTTGTATGTATGTGTATGTGTACACACAAATGTCAAGCTGAAAGACCATCATATTTTTCCCATTATAAAGGCGAATACCTTTTGGAGTTTCTTCATATCTGTTCCGTGTCGCACTTTATGGCTGAGTAAATTTATGAACGAGTATGCTTGTGTGCCACAAAGGTAGGGATGAAGGCAGAAAAATAAAAAAAAATGGCAAGACAACTTATATAAATTACATTATATACAGATGAGTGACCAGAATTAGCCCTTGAAACATTTCAAGATTTTCTTAAGAAAGCAAAGGCAGCATAAAAGTGGGATTTTTATCTATCTATGATGAAAGAGAGTTGGCATTTCTTAAAAACAATTTTATCAGGGTGGTAGTGGTTGTAATAGAGAAATAATTTAATAAAACAAAAACCATTTATGTTTTTTTGTTATTAAACACAACGTAAATCTAAAAATAGAAAATACAAGGGATTTTGAAATTAAATGCATGAAATATGGGCATTAAATGAATAGTGCATTGTACGCGAACTTCTTTGTAACCTTCATCTTGAGGTGAAGTGTTTTTTAAATTGTACTTCCAACCACTGAAAATATTTACCGAAGACCTCATAAAGTATATAATATTCATGATCAAAATAAAATTATATGCAGGAGCGTCTATGTCCATTTGTATGTTGAAATCGTAATAAAGAAGAATTTTGCAAATTGAATGTTTGGTATCGAGAAACGGTTTGGTATAGACGCCAAA